CTCACACTACGCATGCGTAACTCGCCTCGCTGCGCGTGCCTTCTTTCTCTCTCCAACAGCTGCGCGAAGTGCACGCAGCTACCAGCTGCGTCCCTCTCTCCAACAGCTGCGCGTGCGTTCTCTCTCTCTTCAACAGCTGCGCGAAGTGCACGCAGCTACCAGCTGCGTGCACTTCGCGTGCGTTCGCTTCTACTCACACCGCGCGCGCAAGCGCAACTATCCTCCTCTAGTTTCCTCTTCTTCAAGTGTGAATATAAGCAGCGGTAGCGCGCTGCGCGCGTTCAAGGGGAAGAAGCGGCCGAGTGGGATAACGCGTCTCAGCTCGGAGCGTGGAGCGAAAGCTTGCGCTGGGAACCTCGTGGGTTCGAGTCCCCGCCACCCCCGCCCGTTTCGATCTGGATGAGTTTCGTACCGGCACGCGTTCGTGTGATGACTACTGCGTGGTGCACGTTAAGAATCCCAGGTTAGCGGTTGTACTGCGCTGGCTAAATTTCTCATCTACAGCTAAGAGACCGATTACCCGTTGAGGCGCGTCTCCATCAAGGCTGTATAAACATAAAGAGCAAACCAATTTCTGTGCGCGTTCAGTTCACCGCTGTTGACTGCACTTCACTCCGTTCTTCCGATGAAGTGTGATGGAACGATGCTCCGCATCACCCCATGGTTCCCCTCGGGAAGATGGTGTAATTTTTTTTTTTTTTTGAGAAGGGCCAAGTGAGAAGGTCGAAACGAGAACGGGCTCAAATGATAAGCACCCGGTAAGGGGTTCTGTGCCTTCCCGTGTTGGCAACCTCTGGGTTTACATTCGGTCCGTACCCGGTTCTAGAAGGTTCAACCAACGAAACTTTCTGTGTTCGCTGGGTGAAGGACATTCCCAGCTGTAGACTTGAGTACAGCAACGTTTATCGCTGGACACGTCACCCGAGCTGTTCGACTAACATGTTCAGCAAAAAACGTTGCTGTACTGTCATACGGTTTCGCTGTTTTTCGGGTTGCCCACCTACCGTTCTCGCAACAGACGCATAGTCAGGTTAGAATAAAAACGAGGCCGTTTAAGCGGTGTTGTACACGTTACTCCTCAGAAGTAACGAGATACTCGTTACTTGGCCTTCAAAGTAACTAAATACTGCTACTCGTTCCTTTTCTAAAAAAGTAATTACATACGTTACTCGTTACCGAAAATAGTAACTAGGTAGAAGTAACTCGTTACTTGTAACGCGTTACATACATGTATGGGGTGTTACACGTGAAACAATGTATTAATTAGGGCTGGGCGTCGATTAAAAATTTTAACCCGATAAATCGCCGCCCTTTAATCGAATAATTAATCGGTTGCGTTGATTTTTTATAAAAATTATACTAAAAATAATGCAACAACTCGTCTTGCTTTTGAAGACTTATTTAACTGTCTGTTATACGGCGTAAAAGACATTTACAATTGAGGATACATATAGTGCAACGATTCAAAGGCTCACATAGTTTTGCTTCAGTTCCGAAGATAAAGAAGTTTGTCCACATTTTCTGACAGAAAGACAAGAAGTCAGGGCTTGGGCGGTGCTTACTTCTTTCTTCAGAGTAAGGGGCCTTGACGAGAAGGCGTTGATTGTTTTCTGCGTTTTGGCGGATGGTCCTTGCTGCAGTGGCGCATATGGGTGCTTCGCTCGTAGGCGATACTGAAGTGATCGTAAGCTTCCACTGTATGAAAACGGCTTTTTGCAGATGATGCTGTGGACTTCCGTCGAGTTAAAAACTTCACCGCTGGAGTTTACTTTAAACCCCAACTTTCCAGCGAGATTGCCTTTCATAGTCGTGAACTCGTCTATTTGTACGGGCCGAATACTGGAACAAGTAACCATGGCGTTGTTAGCTTTCCAGCTTGTTTTTCTGCTTGTTTGTCTTGCCTGGGCAGAATGTGTAATAGATCCTCAACACGTGAAGTTTCGCGGTCGTAAAGGGATCAATCGCGGACGCGGCTTGTTCGTCTGGCCTTGGTAGAACTGTAATGTATATCCTCGAACACGTGACGCTTCGCGAGCGCGAGAATTGAACCTTGCTCATACTCATAGCACCTGGCTGGGAACAGAAAACCACTTAGGACAGAACGACCGGATGAACCTCACGCAGCGGTTTCCTTAAGGGGGAAAGGGGGGGGGGGGGGGTGCGGAGGCGGCATGAGTCACCCCTAGTTCGGGCAGGTCGTCCAGCATAGAGCCATGCGTGCGTCCACTTAACTTTTTTTTGGTACCGATTAAAAAAAAAAACGATTAACCGGTTAAAAAATTTGATCGTGATTAAAGCCTTAATCGATTAATCGAAAGGTTAATCGATCAATTGCCCAGCCCTAGTATTAACAGCGTTTTTGTTTACAGCTTTTTCTAATTTTCTGTTGAAGTAAGTTTGTGATGACATTCTTATGACTTATATCAGAAATGTCATTAATAAGACCGGTTTGCTTTCCTTGACGTGTGTGGTTACTATAAACTTTTGCTGCAATCTGCTACATGCAAATGGAAGTGTACTAACAAAGTGAACCTTTCAAAGAATGCTGCTTTCATTAACCTCTACGTGCAAAATGTGTAACTTTGTGCCAATGTGGTCAGCAGTTCAATTTAGCAGGACTCAAAGGCTGCCTTGAAATGTAAACGAATAATCACATTAGCCGCCCCACATGTTGAAAAAATTATTGTAATAGTCGAGCCGAATCAACGGGAATTTGCGAACCCAAGATATTTTTTGAGAAAATTCTTGTGAACGGTGAAAACATTTCAGTTCCTTATCATCAGTTAACAAGGTTTGTGTTAACCATTCTTTATTTGTGTGCAATTTGTTTTTTCGGTCGCACTTACGGTACTGTTTACCTGCGGTCAGGCACGTAGCCAGGATTTTGATTCGGAGGGGGGGGGGGGGGGGGGGGGGGGGCCCATGACAAAATGCTTTATGAGGAGGAGGTGGAAGAAGAGGTCCCAGCAAAATGGAAGATTTTGAGGGGGCCTGGGCCCCAAGGTCTCCCCTGGCTACGTGCCTGCCTGCGGTGCAATAAGAGTTAATAGGGACTTTTCGTAGACCGCGTTGCCCCCTCCGCTAAGCGTTCCGCAACGAAGAAGTTGCTACTGCACCTGCGCGCCGATAGCCTTGACTGTGGAGTTCCCGCTATCGCAGCGGGTTGCGGAGGGCCCTTGCGGGACGGCGAAAACAATCTACGAAAACTCCCTAATGGTTTTACAAACACTTACCGACGTTAGTATTGAGCTACTGAAGAAACTGAGACGACGGAATATAAGCTAGGCTAGAAATTATCAGGAGCGGGATATTTATTTCACTAGGAGACCGCCGCGTCGGCTTGTATTAGGGAGTTACCCTTATTTGTTCGTCGTTCGGGTTATGAAAATTTCTGTTAGCTGAGCGAGATGATAGTTGAATGGCCCCACCTACATACCGGGTCGTACGCGAAACTTTAGTCTTCGGAAAGCAAGCGGCACGCCGAGCGGGCAACTTACGGCGCCATCTGGGGGTGGCTCCGTGAAGCGATGCGCGCGGAGTGTCATCATCTGGTCGCGGCGGAGAGCGGAGTTTCTGCGCCTAAAGAGCCTTCCTACACCGTGGTTTCTTGGTAAGAAAGCCCTAGTTCCGTCCCATTTTTTTTTTTTCACTTCCGCTTTTAGGTTTCCTTCTACGCTCCGATTTCCTGCGTTCTCTTGAAGCCTCTCGGTATATCTATTTTGCTGCCTTTACTTCGCCATCCAACCAGTCTCGGGTTTGTGTCCTCGCTTTCCTCTTTGCTTCCTTCACACTTTATGCTAGCTCTCGATGAAATAACTTATACTCGGCGTCAACTCTTTTGTGCCATGTTGTCAAGGCTAGCACAGCATCGACAGTGCTGCAAGCCTGCACCACTGCAGCGAGAGCACCAGCTGGCTTCGCGTTGCGTCTCATTCACTCTCGCTCTTGTGGAAAGGAGACGCGTTGGAGCACAGCGGAGGCAACGCTAGCTTCGACAACGTAGCACACACTTGTTGACGTCGGGTATAGTTAGACTCGCGAAATTTCATTCAGTTTGCGTGTCTAGAGACATTACATTTTCAATTTTCACAGACACCAGTTCCATCTATTTTTCGGTGTCGAAATCATGACTTTTTTTCTTGCCTTTTTTTAATTTGTCCCATTTCTCCTGTATTCCTAAATGCAACTAGGTAGCGAAATTTCCGTCCTAAGTTAAGTATTCCTTAAGTAAAGTTCAACGACTGTGTCGCCAGGATCCTGAGAGCATTCTCCCCTGACGTCACCATTGTTTCGGATGAACGCATATGCCTCTGGTGTTCACATTCTTGGTAATTATAATCAGCTTAACGCGTGTTTTTGCCGCCGCAGTTTGAAACCCCGTTGAAATTACCATTTTGCTCCTCTTGTAGTAGTAGAATCACATGATAAGTGTTTAATCCTGCCATAGCAATGTAAGCAAAGTGTACGAGAAAGAATAAACATAGAAGTTAAACAGAGCCATGCGAAAAATACATACATTGTTTTGTTTGTCGTGTATTTCTTATCGTTCCTTGTGATATGACTCTGCAAGTACCAAAGTTTATGGTAGGGTACAAAAGCTCGTGCTCATAACCCGGGGATTTTGGGATTCAATTCATATGCCCGTTGGTTTTGATACCAACGGGTGGGATCCACTACGTGATGCTGGCGAAATACCTTTGGCAGTCGTGATTCTCTGATCAAATTGTGTGTTTACAGCGTGGGACCAGCATCCGTATCCCAAAGTGAGATCACGTGCTTATTAGATATTACCAACGTCCAACTTTTGTTTAGCCTTGTAGATATAACCAAACAACGGTCTATTCCTTTTTTTTTCATAGTACTTTTCTTCATTCGCCTCTTTTTACTCATTTTATGTGACTGATTGCCGTGCTTGCAGAATTGGCACCGTTTGATAGCTTCCCAGGAGAATTAACGCAGGTTAATTACTCCAAATCTCGTATAAAAAAATATAAAACATGAAACCGAAAGGCCACCAAGTTTATTTTTTGGTATTCAATAAATTTCTATTCTGAATGTGTTCCGTCTCTGATGGAGGTGGACTGAATATTCCGGAAAAGACGACCACCTCTCCATTCGATCCACGAACGTGCCAACTCAGCCGTTTCCAACCTCCCTTAAGTGAGTACGAAAATGTATGCATCGATCCAGAAGTTCTTGTATAAAGGCTTCCTGATACAATACTACATAACAATACAGTTGTTTGGTATTGTTATGGTTCTAAAAGTTCTGGAAACAGAAATCTGTCGGAACGATCAACATCGCGAAGCAGGCACTTCTATATTCACATGCAGTTGACTCAAACGTTTTAAGATCACCAGCTTGATTATGTATTTCTGCAAACGCCACTTTGTTGCATTTATAGCTCTGCCAGATGAGGGCGTAATTTTGCAAAGGGCTTATTGGGTGAACCTTTATCAAAAGATTCCTAAATGCAATGCCAATAAATTTGCTTCGAAGCGGGAGCTTTGGTATTTGTTCCTTCTATATTTAATTTTCAAAATATAACATCTTTCGTAATAGACTTCAAATTTCATCCTGCGTTAGAAAAACAACAAAGAAACGCTGTGTATTTCAAAATAAGACGATACGTTTTCGTCGTGTATCAGAAGGGATGCGAACTCCGTTGGACTTTGCTCATGTTCCACCAGTGGCACTCGCAGCAGAACACATAGCGTAACAGCTCCTTCACTCTTGCGGGGCTGAAGAGTCCACGCTGCAAGTTGTCTGCACTAATACCGTCGCCCGCTGGCTGTCCAACGCGGCACTGACTTGAAGCGTCGTCCACGAAGGAGCACCGGGGGCTTCCACCAGTCTCGTAGCAGGGGTTGTCGTACGCCTCGCACGCTCCTGGCACGCAACTAACAACTTTTTTTCTCCTCTCAAGCTGAAGACACACACTCGGTATGACCGCAGGCACATCATCTGCTGAAGACGAATCGAGGCACAGTTCATTTCCAACTTGTAAGGTTCCTGTCGAACGACTAGCTTCCTCCCTCTGGAGATCGCACTTCGGGGAGAGTTTCTTTGGAAAGATATCGTTGCCTACACTAGTGGATGACGGCGTCCTAGAACACTGATCCTCCTGAAGGACTTGCGTGTTACCACGAGTTACACATTCACCTTGCCGGTAGGAACTTAAGACTTTGTGCCGAGAGTACACCTCACCGACACTAGAAGACCACGACTTCCTCGAGCAGCCGCCAACAACGTCGCTTGGTGTCTTGCCAAAGTTTACAACGTCATCCTTGTGATAGGCATCGAAACATCTATCACGAAGGTGCACGTCATTTACACCGGAGGACCACGATGTCCCCGACTGAGCGGTCCTCACAGGCTTGATGTCGAGGGTGCAGTTACTGTCCTGCCGCTGAAAAGCTCGAATGTTGTCTTGGGCCTCCTGAAAGAGCTCGAGGAACCTGAGCTCTGAGCTGGCACTTCGCGTGGTGTTGAGGAGGTAGTAGAGGTACGTCTTGTATTGCTCCTCGTCCTCGTTGATGCTGCGACCAGACGGACTCGTGCCAACGTAGAAACGCACGTCCTGGGTCAGGGAGTTCAGGCTTGGATCGACGACTTCCGGGCAGCTGGCCCAGCGGTTCGGGTTCCAGGTCTCGACTGAAAAATAAAATGAAATAGTAAATAAGGGCAGATTCAATGGAACATCTCGAACTTTAAAGCGCACGTCATGCACTTTGACTGCCCAACCATAGCCCTCTCTCTTACGGTGCCTGTAACGCGTCTTCGTCTCGTACACCCACAGATCAAAGTGGTCCCAAAGTGGTCACAAGTAACGACAGATGAGCCGGCGTGTGCGATGTCGCGATCATGGCGGTTGGCCGTGAAGTTCTGGCCTAAATTACAAGCGAAGGGTAGGGTCACTGTAGTCGCGGTGTCCCAGCTCGTTGCTCAAGAAGGTTCCCTGAACTGTCACACCGGGATCGAGCGACAGCAGAACAGGACTCTATCGTATGCGCCTCCGCAGCTGTGCCACCACCGGGATGGCGGCAGGCAACAACATCGAACTTCAATGATTCGGTCATTGAAGTATAATTTAAAAAAAAAAAAGATACATTTCAGCACGCAACAAACACACCGTCGGTCAAAAAAAAAAAAAAGTCAAATTAGTTGTTAGTTGTTTACGCAGCAGGAGGTTAGTCTGCCAGAACATGGCGACCATTGTTACCCACTATAGATAAGAATTTAACCAGTGCAGTGCGACTGCTAGCCTGGGGTCTTTAACCCGTCGGACCCGTCGGAGGCACGCTCCACCCGTCGGAGGCACACTCCTGGCACCATACCACCAGGTACAATTTCTGCACGGCCCTCAGCATCTTTAAGAGCTGAACTTCCGGTATGTCGCAACACGTGGCAGTTGCCCTGATCACGCCATGGAAGGTGCTGATGTGTTAACCGCAACGGTCACTCAATCTTGCTTTGATTTTTCAATATTTCTTTTATTCAATGTTTTTTTGTCTTACTTTCGACAAAACAAAATGCTGGCTGTGCCCTCTATCTTCACCGGGTATTTCATAACCTTAAGCATGTCGGAGGTCGGTATGGTGTCCCAGTGGTGTTTTCTTCCCCACAGAAAAATGGGTCAGATATGTGCAAAGGTCGGTGCTACCACCGAAAAGCGGTCGAAAAGGAGATGCACCAAAAAGCACGGAGTACCGTTTGTGGCTTGTGTGTCTGGCGTGTTTAATAATATCCCTTTGTCGTGTGGCAATGTCTACGTTGGACAGACGGGCCGCTGTGTAAATGACAGACTTAGAGAACATTCCTATTCTCTCAGGGCCACTGTTGGGGAGTTGCTTCATTTACACTGCAGGGACTGCAAGTGCCATCCTGACTTTAGTGAAGTCACTGTTTTGGATAAAAATACAGATAGAGTGGCAAGGGAAATCGTCGAGGCTTTTTTTTTTATCTCTAAACTTGCCAGAGATGTGTCAGCGAGTTGTTAGTGGCTTTATCTGAAAAAGAATTCGGGTACCTTCGATGAATTATGAAGGGCATTACGCAGCCACTGGTATGGTTATCTTGACAAAAAATATGCTGCCTGGTTCGCGCGTCTGTACTTTTTTTTTTTTTTGTCTAAATCACATGATTTTTGGTTTATTTTTTTTTATTTTTTGTGCATTAAAAAGCCAGTCGTTAGTTCAGTGCCGTCCTGTCGTGTGCGTTTCTTTACCCTTGTCCATGTGTTTTGCAGCTGTTCCTTCCCAAGATGTTCACTTCAAACCACCTAGCCCAATACGTCGCATTGCTGTCTTGCTTTTAATTTCGTCCTGCATACCGACTACTTTACTTCATTTAATTTTGATTACCCTTAAATCGCCTATTTTTGGGCTTTAAATAAAGGGGTTGGATCACAAGGTAGAACGAACTTAACCGCACAAGCCGCTTTCGGGCAGCTGACTGGGTCATGTGTTTTAAGCGCATCTCTAAAATAACCTGTATTAGATTGAGTAACAATGCTATCTAGCAGCATGTTTTACAATGCGGTCAACATTCGCCAGGTGAATATTTATAAAGGTTCGTTCATAAAATAGCTGAGGTAGGCCGGCAACTGTCTGCCAGTTCGCAGGGTTAATGCATTCGTTGGGTGTATTTTATTGCTGCTTTTCCAATTTTGGCAAATGATGATGCAACCTTTGCAACATGAACAGACTTGCACAAGTTCTGCGATGCTCTAAGAGGGGATGTTAAATTGTTCGTTCTTTTCAAAGGGGCTGCCTATTTTCTTGAAATCTTTGAATATAAAGCATTCAGCTCTACAAATTAAACCAAAATTAGGAAGGATTGTACTGATGAGGAAAATTCAAGCTTTGATATGTCGCTGGTGTTGTATATAATTGTGGTGAGCTGGGCAAGTTTGTATGAGGACATATTGAACATAATAGTGCACTAAGGGCGTGTACAAAGAAAAGGAACACACAGCGCTTCTGTGTCTTGTGTTCCCTTTCTTTGTCATCGTCCCTTGTGCGCTGTTATGTTTAACGGGGTGTTATATGCAGTTAGCTTGGTATTTTGAGAAGCGAATTTCAAACGGCATTTAAGAGAAGCTAGTGGTCTGCTCGTTTCGGTGAATATGCTCATTACGTGAATTTCCGAGTTAAAGTGAGGTGGTAGACACATGCCAAGGCATTCGAAATATTTACCTTTTTCTATTTAGCTTTTAAAGAATTTTTAACTAGAATTTTGAAATTATCGTTTTGTTGCAAATACAACCTACCTTGCCTACATTGTATTGATTTACATGGTCCCTTTCGTACACCATAAAATAAAGTTGCAAGATGGCGCAATATGGCAACTCCCGCGTCTAAAAAATCGCGGCAACGTGCTCAATTGTTCTGCATCTACACGGGAAAGGTAATATTTATTTTTTCTTTCTGCAATAGAGCCACCATTTTTATCAAAAATGGCATCACTCAGATAATAATGACTCGGGAACACATATCAAATTATCCTTTACTTCATGGTGTAATACGCCAGAACCATGATGCAAAAGCAACTAGCCGAACTAGCCATCATTATTCTTTGCTGTAGATCAATCAACTTTTTTTGGCGAAGCACTTTCTGCATGAAATACATTTGATGCAATGGGTCTCAGTGCTGACTAGGACCAATGCTACCCAGCCATTCTTCATGTTTCGCCGTTTTGCCATTCCGTCCAAACTTTCGACAGATGGCGGGATATTGGATGTGTTGTTCAATGAAAATTCGGAAAGTGAATACTACGACGACAGTGACGGACAATCAGTGTTTTCAAAGGATGTCGACACCGACAATTCCGACGACGGAGCAGGCGAGGGGGGGGGGGGGGGGGGGGGGGACTGAGAAAAGCACTGACTAAGCCAAACCAATTTGGAAGCGTAAGAAATGCAGTCCTCTTTCACCTGCATCAAAAAGATCTGGGGCAAAGCCACTTGCCTCAGAAAGAAATAACACAAGAACGGCGTACTAGGTGTCAGTTCTTCGGGGTGTAGAGCACTCACAACAAAAGAATGCATCTCGTGCGAAATAGATGTGGCTTTAACAGTACCCTCAATTATTTTAATGGAATCCACGCTCAGTAAAAATATTTTTCGGGGTGCTAGGGTGTAGATATTATTACGTTCTCGTGACCCACTGTATCAAAGACGATACATCAATAAAAAATAAGAAAACACGAAGCAAAGCGAATTGTAAGCTTCGTATTTTCGGTCTCACCCACCAGTAATTTATGCGTAGAACAAGAACAGCCCTCGAAAATTCATTGGTACCGAAGAGGTGAGTGATGGATTAAAAAGAAGGAGGTTAAGACACATGACCTGGCCAGATGCTGACTTGTCACGTGTGTGCAAATGGTTCTGTCACAAGCATGGACGATTAAAGAGTAACAAAAATAAAACTGTATAAAGAGCTATCCCCAATATCGAGTATATCAGCCATGGAAACAACCTCTGGTTTGTCTGACCTCTAACTACCTGAAAACGTATCACGCCTGTGTTTATTTCATAAGATCTATCATCATAACCAGCACAGCGGCACCTTCTGTAAACAGAACTATCACGTGTCGATCATCAAAAAAGCAGTCAAGCGCTTGCGTTTCTGTAAGTTTTACTCAAGACATCATTGGATTGGAATCGCCTTCGCCCACTTATCGTTAACATCGCCAACTGCGCTGAGTTTATAAACGTTATGTGTGACTTCATTTTGCGTTCCGACCAACTATGCTTTTTCTCTGATTTTTTAATGCCGCTATGTGCCTAATTGATATGTTATTTAGATGTTTCAGCCCACTCGCCCTTTGGGACACCTTCGGGTCCTGAGAAGCAGAATTAATGGATGAAAGAATTAATTATAACTGAATAAGAAAATCGATGTAAATAAGTAAATCAATAATTGAAGAAACGATAAAAAAAATGCGGGGCGTGAACTGTAACAAGGTTATCTATTTCAGCTTGCAGTTTGTTTTAACATCCGTCTTTATAAGTGCCTGGATTGCACGAGGCATAATACGGTGGTGCTGTAACTTAACTATGTATCTCAAATCCCGTGAATTCTCAGTTATCTAGAACCTTAGGATAGCAACAGCGTTTTACGCTTAGAATGCATTGCTTCGATTTGGCAGATTTGGAATCAGCACACGACGGCATCACAAAGCATCTTAGCGAGGACAGGGGTTACCCCCTGTCCTCGCTAAGATGCTTTGTGATGCCGTCGTGTGCTCTTGCCTTCCAAGGGTTAGGTTTCGCACACGTGCTACCTTCTCAGCCGGTCCGGCCACTTTATGCCTATGACGTCGGTTTCCCGCGTGTGTGAGTGCGGTGGCCGCTAAAACAGCTACGCCCCAAAGCTGATACGCATCTGTTCTGTAGCCGGGCCTTTTTACTGAGAAGGTTATCACTACAACGCAGCATGCCAGAGGTTCATAGAGAGTATGAAATATATTAGAAATTAAAAAAGTGGGAAGTGCGCACAAAATGCTATATACAAGAAATATATTTTGTTTCATATTTCAAAATTTCAGTCTCCCAGTTAGCACTCCGCATCAATGCGTTTTTTTACACAAAAGATGCTTGTTATTTTTTTAAAAATAAACTCATGATTCGCCACGTTTTTATTGTTCGACAAATGTTTGACTTTCGAAACAAATCAAAATAAAGTCTACTTTCACTTTTACTGCTCCAAAGTGTAGATTATTTTTGTTATGCGTTCGTAACTTACGCAATTACGAAATGGTGACTCCTAATGTATTATGCGCTAGAAGTTGGTATAGCACTTTAAAACTCAATAAGTAACCATTTGAACTAATTATTACAAACCATGTCTTCGTAATTTTTTGTGGTCAAATATATTTGCCTTTATGAAAATTTTTTACACCTACGTAACGTTAGCTCCTAGACGCTTACATAACGAATCCTCTAAGAAGCTCTAGAGAGTATTTCTTCAACAGCCATTGCAAAAGCTCTTCCAGAACAATTGGTTTTAGGTGCAGTTACGGTGTATCTGAAATTCCGCGAACTTTTGTGCCGTACGTGGGCGCCCAGCTGTGCAATGGTGATGGATTAACATTAAATAATTAAAAGGTTTGAATGGTATCCTTCAGTAAAAACAACTTTTGAAGAGATGATGATGATAGCGGTGAAAACCTACTGTTTCCAGATACGTGTGCCACCCTGGTTGGGATTATCCTGTGTGCTACTGCGCATTTTAGAGGATGTATATATAAGTTGCACTTTCCTCAAATTTATACAATATCACCCGTTGAAGTGTGGTGCGCCACAGTCTCCTCGTGAATGACCACATGAAGTTGCCGGCGGCCACGGATAGTCTGGTCATTCACAAGGAGACTGCGACGCACCACACCACCTCTTAATCCTTTGTGAGGTTCCACCTCCCTGGCGGTCTTACCCGCCTAGAAGAGGTTTCGCTCCAGTGGTCGCGTGAAGGCATCGATCACACCGGCCGTCCGCTCCAGATGTGCTCATTACGCCCGTGTCCCACTAGAGCGACAGACAGAAACAAACGACAACGACAAGCCTCAAACCAGAGTCTTTCGCGATTTGAGAGGCTTTATAAATAAAGGAGGCTATGCTCACACACGACCATCATGCACGCGAGGGTATCTTTGGCAGACTTGCAATCGCACGTGCTTACTTCACGAGCACCGAACGACTAAAAGCCTGCCAAAGTACCATCGCGAGCATGCTGCATGGGTTTGAGGCTTGTCGCTGTCTTTTGTTTTTGTCTGTCGCTCTAGTGGGACTGAGCGCCGAACAACATGCCTAAATATAATCTCAATACCTACGAACCAAGACGGCATCCCTTGGGTACGCCTCCAGCGCTTCAACCGAAAGGATAGGCGTAAGACGACAACCGATGCAAATATCGATTTTTTGTATAAACAGCCCTTGCTCCATTTTAGTAACAGTGGAAGCCAAACAAGCTGAACATGATTAAAAAGACTACCCACGTCAATCTTCGACAGGGACTGAAACCTCACTAAATTATCTTGAAGAAACCCCCGCAACCTCAAAAAAAGAACAGCATAATCTAACGAATCGACATCCACACGACATCCACCCGGTGTCCCTTTTGTCCCGCCCCAGTTCGGGAAGCGGATCTCGAGCATTTCCTTTGGACGTGCTGGGCCTTTAACCGACACGTCGGCGCCACCTTAGCCGGGTGGGCCTCCATCCTAAGCGGCCGCCAGACTTTCAACGTTGGACACATGGCCCGATACACAGCTCCCTTCTGGATTTCTTCCAGGAAACGAGACTGCATCTTTGCCTTTGAATCTGTGCCGCATGACAAACCAACGTAATTAAAAATAAAGTAGAGCATAACCTTTTGTTATACTCACCCTCAGCTGTGCGACGCTGCAAACGCTTCAGCCTTTTGTAGAACTCCGGTGCATTCCTAAAACAAAAAGAACGTATTCTCAGCATGCACGAATGATTTCCGTAATCCATCGTGGGACCAGAAAACAAATATACATATATCTCTCTTTAGGGCTTCGTTACACTAGGCGAACGAGAAAGAAACGCTTCTCGCGGACAAACTGAAAATATCCCGCTAAAGAACTTGTCGCGCTTTTATTAAGTTTTTTGGAGCATCACCCACTGAAGTAATTTGTCGTTAGTTGTGTGCGCCGCGGAATGTTAGTCTGGCTGAACATGGCGTCATTATTACTCACTGTATGTGAGAAATTTAGGCTGTGCAGCACGACCTTTAGCTTGGGATCCTTAATGTGGACCACTCATAAGTGATACACGACCGCACGCCGGTACGATGCTCATCCAGATCGAAACGGGCAGGGGTGGGGATTGAGCACACGATCCCTGGGTTCTGCCGTGCGACCTTACGCTCCCCGTGCTCCGAGCTGGTGTGCGCCAGCACACTCGGCCACCGATCACCCCCCTCCCCCCAAACTGAACACAAATATACACATGTACGAAGAAGCAGCACGACACCGGTCAAAGTCGTTAAGGTCGCCGAAAAGATCAGGGCTGGAATATCTAGGGTTAAAGGGCCTCAAAACCTGGCCTTCCTTGTGAGGGGGGGGGGGGGGGGGGGGGCGGACCCCAATCTGTTAAAAATATTTAAAAAATAGCCGCTGTTGTAATTTCACCCACTAGACGCAAATTAGCTAAATGTCAGCCAGAGATCAACCATGATGGGAACAAACAAATATTACCAATTTGATTCATGAGTGTCTCCATACATATATACTGTTTGTTTCTTAATACTACCTTCACTATGTTGCTAGACGATTTTATTGGAGACTGTAGGGTGGACGACCGCGCGAACGATTAACGCAGTTATTAAACCACGAACGCCGCAAAACAAAAAAAAAAAAAAACACGTGAAAGGCGACCGAGCTAGCGTGTCACTGTTGCGCCTAAGCTGGTATTCGTGTTTGCAGGCCTTCGGGTACGGGCTTTTGTTTTTCGGCATTTCTCCCGACTCTCTTAGCAAAATAAAGAATACTAAATTAAATTGTTGAATGGTTGAATGGATATGCAATTCCATCGCACATTTGTGCGCTTGGAAACTTCCGTTCTGCCATCACTAGCTAAACAGACCTACGCGGCTTTATCGTTTGTCTAATCAAAAGGTCTAAAGTAAAAATAAAAATATGACCATTTCTGGTTTTTGTATTTCTCTTTTCTGCAAAATTTGTCTGCTACATTTTTTCCATTAATTCTCTTTTTTTCTTTGTTTTGTAAACTAATTACACCTGAGTTTATTGTTACGACAATCTAGAAAGTCCCTTTAAATATATTCTTTGAGCAAATACGACAGGCTACGGAAAAGACCCCCGAAGGGGCAGTGTGCATAATTTCTGAGCTGTGCCGCCGCTCTTTTGAATATAGCAAGAAAAAAATGAAATGCAGATTGGATAGTAAACACGAGAAAACACAGACAAAGCCACCCGTAACCGTTTTACATAGATTACAAAGTTTTGTTCGACGAATATACAATGTAAGGACTGAGCGCGGTACCCGTTCTGACTTTGTAGTCTTCAAACTCTAGAAAAAGAGTTGTACGAAGTGGCAGATCTTTGGCAAATCTTAATGAAGTGTCCACTGTGTTTTTGTAATTCTCCATAGATGAAATAAAAGGCTTGCAAACTTTCAGCAAGTTTCGGAGCTTTTTCATCAACAACCTTTGCCCAATAGAGGTAACGCGGACGCTATACATAATGTAAGTGAACGGATTTAAACATGGTTGATATTATGGTAAATTCACAAAGGCTTCTTGCGGCAAGTATTGTGCCTGTTTTTTCGGCCTGATTGTTCGGCGCTTGCGTCCAACGATGTACCAACTATAGACCATACTTGAATCTTAATAAAGTTTTGTGCATCGAAGAGGGAGTATAAATTGTGAATTGAACCTCCAGTGGCGGGGCTGTTCAATCTGTGTACCCCCAAACAGATGTCACACAGATGCTTTTTCCTCTTTCGTTGGACGTCGAGAGAAATCTTGAATTTCAAAGTCAAACCCACAAGGAATTTTAGATTGTAGCTAGTTGAAATCTAGAGTCCTATATTCCTTTAATGCGGCCTATTCAGAAAAGTGGCCGCGCTGTGTGATTTGCACGCACGCTTCATGTTATATTTACTGCCTGTTTATTTGTTCTGTCCACAATTTAGTTGATGGCCCTGGGTTTTTTGCTACAAAAATTACGCTTTGAATCAAACATTAAAATGTATTTTTTATAAACACACATTTTATTGTCAACCATGTTGCGATAGAAATATAATGAACTAATTTATCTAGTGTTTAATTTTATGAAGTACTTAAAAGTAACGTAGTAGTACAAACATTGAACAGGTTTCATATTCTTTAGGGCCATGGCCTTCGACGCTGCTGAATACCACAGAACGTCTTTCCGGCCAATGGACTAACCTACACAAACAAAAAAAGGAAAAACTTTGTTTGTAGGGTACTGAACATTTGTTGCAAATAAGATTAAAAGGTATAAACCGTAAATGTGCACTGAATGGCTCCTTATAACATCGCTTGTAGAATATTTAAGTAGAACATTTTGAAGTATTTACAGTAGTCTTTCTCTCCTAATTTACTTATTCGTCTGATAAGCAGCGGTTCTCGCATGGCATATGGAGTGGCAAACAAAACTGGCACCCTTGAACGTTTTTTTTTTTTTTGTTCATTTCATGGCAAAGTTGGTAAAAGAGATATGTTGATTTTCACGGTTAGATATAACACAATTACCGGTATGATCTTACTAAATCTAAGAACCACAAAAATTACCCGTTAATGTAAATTCATGGACTTTTTCTAAAGAAAATGCATATAAAATCAGGTATACATTCGAGTGACTTTAAATTTGCGCCTATTTTATCTTGCCATCGCTTATCAGAGAACGGTGGCTTGTCGTGCGCGATAAATAATAAAAAAACTTTGGTATATTTGTCAGGGTATTTCGGCTTGGGGAAAGTACGAACGTTTTACAGAAGTATTTGTCTATGTTAATTCATCCTTATGAAAGCTGAAATGCTTAAATAAACTATTGCTATTTTTTCGGGTTGAAATGAATGTAAAGCAGTGGTGAGTTACCAAAAAAAGTGAAACTCCCTAATGTTTTTGGAGATGACTTCCGCGACTCTTCTTGACATGGCAACCCGAGAGCGGATGAAAACGGGACGGACAAAACAGCGCTCCAAACACACCTGAAGTTTTATTAGGCCGAATCATCTTTAAATAGGCCAACAACCAAGAGACGTACATACAAAGTAAAAAAAAAGGAAAGAAAAGATAAAGTTTGGACACTTCCGACTAGCACACTAATTAACAGTGCCACCATGGACACCAACAAAAAAAAAACACCAAAACCCACACATCCATCACACGCTCCCTAAAACATATAAAACAACGGTTACACCTTCCGAACACAAAGGCAAAAATCTTCAACTTAGATCGATACCCACCCCCTTCTCCTCTTCATCCTCCCCAATAAAAAAACACAAAAACTTAGAAACGTCTTAACAGGTTTGTTTGAAAAAAAAAATACATGATACTGGACACACAACCTCGCTTGCTGTACGTAAAAACTCCCTCAGGAGCCGTTGGTAACATTTGTTGTCTTTATTTCAAGCTTTAGGCGCCTTCCAAACAGAGCAACTAGAGCAACTTGAAACATGCTTAGCCAGCTTTGAAGATTCACTCTTATTTTTACCCCACGCTTATTTTCGCGTAACCTATTGATGATGATTGGGGTTTTACGGCGCACAGGCAACTTAGGCCATATTGCGCCAAACAAAAGCGTAACCTATTGTCGAGACACCTAGCAGTCGGACCTACATAGCTAATTTCATAAACAATTCTCGAAGGTCGCAAGCCACCGACGATTCTCTATGCTCCTCGCCGCACTTTACGTTTTCCGACAAAAAGGGCGTTAGTCTATCCAAACGAAAACGCCCACAGTTTATAGGAAACGGCGTGAAAGTAAGGCAGGCAGACAACCTTGCTTTTATGTAAGCCCTTTACGGGTTGCCTTTTAGAGCATGTTAATAACGGGAAAACAACAGCTGACACATCCTCCCGACTATAATTTACCAACGACAGCATGCCAAGCTGTTTTTCCAAGCGGGCACTGCACAACGCACAGATGAACATTTCAGAGCATTCATTAAGACAAATTTGACCACACCTCATTTTACAATCCTTGAATTACGACTTAACCTAGAGAGCAAATATCTTAAGCCCGCCTTCCCAATCAGCTGATACGCAAAAACTCTAACCACTCTTTGCTGAACACGTCCTTTGAAAAACAAGGCTTCGGAGCTTTTCCAAGGAAGCTAACCATAACTAGATCGCCCACCACGTTGTCCGAACAACATGCCTAAATATAATCTCAATACCTACGAACCAAGACGGCATCCCTTGGGTACGCCTCCAGCGCTTCAACCGAAAGGATAGGCGTAAGACGACAACCGATGCAAATATCGATTTTTTGTATAAACAGCCCTTGCTCCATTTTAGTAACAGTGGAAGCCAAACAAGCTGAACATGATTAAAAAGACTACCCACGTCAATCTTCGACAGGGACTGAAACCTCACTAAATTATCTTGAAGAAACCCCCGCAACCTCAAAAAAAGAACAGCATAATCTAACGAATAAAACAAGTCGTTGATGTCTAGAGGAAACACGACCGCTGACTTGCGTTAGAAAGGCTGGATGTCAGTCATCGGTTGATCTGCATTTAAGAACATCAGGGGCTCGAAAAATCAAGAAGCATAGAGAACTAACAAAACGCATGAAGAGTCGGTGATTAGTAACCTTGGAGTTGTTTATGAAACCCTATGAAAAACGTGGAGCTAGCTATGTAAATCAGACTATTATCTGTCTCAACAATAGGTTATGGGAACACAAGCATTCGGTAAGAAAATAA